AACATTGCTCAGGACAATTTTATGTAAGTCATGCTTGGCATGTTACTTCATGGTTTATAAAACACTTTCTTTTCAACCATCCTATGAAGTAAACAATGCAGGAACTCTAAGCTTCATTTTACAAAATGGGGAAACTGACATTTGGAGAGGTTAAACAACTTTTCCAATAGTTTGATAGCAAGTTAAGTAGGTCAAAGTTAGGATATGAAGTCAGATCTACTTATTCCAAATACAGTGTTCTTTCTACCACGACACATCACAGATGAGAACTAGGGATGCTTCCTCAGACACAAATAGGAACTCAGTGAGAAATACAAACATGGGAAATTAACAAACCTTTGAGTCACAAGACCAGAAAGACCTCCAGGAAAGGTGAACAAGGAAAATGGAGCATTAGCTTTGGATGATCTGAAGCCCAGGGGAGCCATGCCAATTTAAATTTACCTTGGACTAAGAGCTCAAAGTGTCTAATTTAGCTTTTAACTCAGGCTAAGGTATTAACTTCCAAGATAAGAACCAAAAGATGGGTCAATGAAAACAGATTAAGAACTATGAGAACAATTCAGTAAGGACTAGTAAGAGCTACTATTACAGGCTTTAAAACCTTCTTATGATTAATTTCTACCTTATTTAAAACTCTTCCTGATTCCTTGCAACTTCTATTAGTAAAAACCTTTTAAAAACCACAAAGGTCTGTACTTCCATTGAAAGCGGGGTAGGGGAGACATTTGGAACCTGTATTCCATTCTGCATCCAATCTGGGAAGAGAGGAATTCAGACGGAAGACAACAGGTGGGCCAAACCTGGAAAGCATACAAAAAAAGAGTAAAGTATACTTCAGTTCCTATTTACCCAGAAGATTTAAACTGGTCTATTCTTTCACACTAACTTGAGTGTTAGTCAGGGACACAACACTAACACACAGAGAAACAATAATTCAAGACTGTGTGCAAAACATCCTCTGTAGCAATCTCAATTATCAGAGAAACGCAGCAAAGAAGCCAGAAGTGAACAAAAAATGCCATTGGGCAGCCAAAGCAGACATCAAAAACTCCATGTACTTTGAAAGGCTACAGTTTTAAGCAAAACTCATACCCTCTGACCTATACTTGAAGACTACTGACTTTTACTTTACACACAATTCTAACAAGTTTGATTGTCTGGTTCTTCAGTTTAATTTGCACATTCTATGAAGCAAATTAAAAGGGACTCAAAAATAGAGTCAGGCATACTGACTGAAAAGCCATAAAAAGTAGATCCCCAAACAAAAAGCAGTCTGGGGCCATTTAATGCATGGGCAAACAGACCTCATGTGTCCTGGAGAGTTGGCCCACCTAATCTCTCATCCGAATCCCAAATTTCTTCCCTAGTTTGCTGTCTTTGAAATGAGTACACAGCCCACATCACTTCATGCTTCCTCACAAGCTACCTTCCTATCCTGGAGAAATCTACACCCTGAGGCCTTTCTCTTGATTAGTGAATCCCTAGCCCGGACCACCATTTCATGATCGACCCCAGATATCCTTGATTCACAATGGAATTCACCTCACCAGGTACCTTGCTCCTACCTAGTTAGCCTTTTCCCCTCCTCTGTCGCCCAAAAATGTTACAGTGGGAAGAATCCTGACTTGCTATATGACCTAGGGAAAGTCACTTTACTTTGTGGAGTCTCAATTTTCTTCCCATGAAGCTAGGTGGTACAGTAGACAGAGTGTCTGCCCTGGCATCAGGAAGACTCATTTTCCTCAATTCCAATCTGGCCTCAGATACTCAGTAGCTGTGTGACCCTGGGCAAGTCACTTAACCTTGTTTACCTCAGTTTCCTCATCTGTACAATGAGCTGGTGAAGGAAATGGCAAACCACTCTAGTATCTTTGCCAAGAGAACTTCATGTACGGTCATGAAGAACCAGACATGACTGAAATGAACTGAACACCACCCACAAAACTAATGGGCCAGGTAACATGGTAAACACTTGGGATACTCATTTGGACATAACCATTGCCAACTGGACAGAACCAGCCTCTAACTTGTAGGAGGCCAGAGCCAAACAGAGTAGGCTAGAGGGAAGAGAGTCAGAAATCAAACAGAAGTTTAATTTCAAAGTCAGGGAAACGGCGTGTGTGTGTGTGTGTGTGTGTGTGTGTGTGTGTGTGTGTGTGTGTGTGAGAGAGAGAGAGAGAGAGAGAGAGAGAGAGAGAGAGAGAGAGAGAGAGATTCATAACAGGGGCTTCATGACCAGAACATGGTACCTATCTAGTGCTTGTCTGAGCTCAGGTAACACCTGCTGCTGGATCAAAGCAATACAATAATTATATGATTTTGCCAGAGGTTGAGATCACAGAGAGAGTGAGTGCAAAGGATTGTTGTCACGCCAAGCTCAGGGCACAGCTTGCTTGCTGGGCCTCAGCTCTGGAAAACAGGGTATCTCCTAATACCCTGACATTATTCTATGTATATATTGTACATCTGATCTCAACCTAAGATCCCAGAGAGCAATAAACATACTTTAATTACTTTTCTATCCCACTCAACACCCACCACAATGCCATGCACATATGAAGCTCTCTAATAATCCAGAAAAGGTATTACTAAATGTCTTCCTACTGAACACCTTAACATCATAGGCTCAAATAATGAACAAAACAACAAAAAGAACAGCTCAATGTTAGACTGTTGGAGCTTTAAATTTCTGTCACTACTATATTGGATGACTAAACACAATGCGAGGATGACATAGCATTTTGCAGCACTCTGAAATTTCATCCAATTATTACACACTTCTTGGCTATGATAAGTGCCAGTTTCTACTCAATTCAAGCATCAATGAAGGGAAACAAATGACTTAAAAGAACTAATTCCTAAATACCAGAAATCTTCATTAGCGCCCACTTTCTTAATTTAGAAAACTAAATATTATACTTTAAAATCTGAATGCTAATAAAAGTAGATTAAGTTTATACATACGTATGTACATGTACATATGTGTGTGTATATATATACACATGGAGAGAGAGAGAAAGAAGTATTTTACAGCATACAAAGTACATTTAATCTCAAACAATCCAATTATTATTGGAGGACTGGAGAAAGCAACAGTTTAGCTCAGCAGGTTTTTCCACCTTTATGAAACAAAATTAACTAAAGGGAAAAGAACTTTCAAGGGTGCTACTCAGAAGAAGGATCAACTTATTACATTGTATAAGAATTACAATTATTAAATGTGCATGATACTTGACAGTAAAAATATTAGCACCTGCCAAAAGGACAACCTCTCTGTTAGCTTTTCCCACTACAATAACCGAAGTTGATAGCAACTAAGAAAGAAGCAAAATAGCATAAAAAGTTAGCTATGTCTTGAACTTTGGGGGCCCTTAGGTCTTTCATATTTCCTTATCCAGACAAGAGTATCAGATTCGCAGTTAAAGGATTTGAGTTCAGATCCTGTAAAGACCTTGGCCAAATCATTTAATCCAATTTATATGCACCACTTTCTTCAACTGTAAAATATAAGGATTTTTTTTACCTTCAAAGCATCTTGTAGTTAAAAATCTATGATGCTATTCTCACTGAAAACACAGAGATTAGATGCTAGAACTGTGATCTGTTTGCTTGTTTGTTTTTTCCTCTCCTCCCTGAAGGATAACTCTCTCTGCCAGTGCAGGTCAGCACTTTGAGCAGGAGAGGATAAGTGACTTTCCTAGGAGTTATATGGCCATCATATGTCAAAGGTGGAGCAAGCAAGTTTTTCCTGGCCTCCTCCAGACCACCCCTCTATCCACTACAATAAGCTGTCTTTCCAACATGCACGGCTAATTAAGTTGTTAGTGAGAAATTACAATCTTATTCTCCTTCTTCTACCATTTGTTAAGGGCTTTAGTCCAACTCACAAAATAGTTTTTGTCTCCTTCCAATAACACAAAAAAACGACAACTGGATAATCAGAGATGACAACTAATGGAAAAACATTAGTTTTTGAGACACTTAAAATTTGAGACACTTAAAAGATCAAACCAGGTGATGACTAGAAAGGCAGAAAAAGCAAACACAGGAAAAACATCTGAAATAGACTGGATTAAGTAAAAGAGTTTTAAAAACAACTCATTTCCTTCAGGAGTGTGGGAAAATACCCGTTGCTACTGGAAAGCTGTGCAAAGTTTGGTTTGGCTGGTTTCATTCTGTTTTCTTTCCAACATCATTACTGAGTATGAAAGATTGTTTCTCTTTCATCGCATTACTCAATATACTTTAAAAAAAAATCTCCATCAAATTCGGTTGCTTTCCATTCTGTCTCCCGAATGGCTCCCCCACCCACCCTGGTATCTGCACACCCGCCCCACGCCTCCCTCCAAACAGGCTTCAACATTTCTTTGCTGTCCGTGGTCTCCCCAAGACTGAAGGTTCCGTCCTCGAGACAATGAGAGTTTACTCAAGTTGAGTCAATCTAGGGGCTGGACCCGTGACTCCACAGGTAGAGGGAACTCCCGGGGGAGGAAACTCACTCCACCACTGCAGGTCCGTACGTTCTCTGCAACTTGTTGCCTGAAAGGCGGCCCCGAGTCCCAAGAGCTTAAATGAATTTCATCCATTCCGCCCCCCCCATCCTCCTCCACCCCCTGCGGCGCCGCGGGCAGACACAGGCCTCTCCTTGGACGCATTGAGTGGCTTTCACTCCCAGACATCGGTAACCCACGCACGACCGTGTCCCCCCCCCTCCGAACACGTAAAGCAGCCCGACTTCTTCACCCCCACCCCGTCACCGTTCCACCACTGCACAGTCCCGGGCTGACAGGTCGGCGTGACCCCGGTCTCAGGGAGCTCGTCCGGCGGGGGCCCAGAAAGCTACAGCCCCCCATCAGCTCTGCCCCGGGGGAGGGGTCCCCCGGGCCGCTCCCGACCAGGCCGGCGGGCTCCGTCGGTCCATCCCCGAATGAGGGCGGCAGCCGCACTTCACCGCGCGCCGCGGGGCCGGGCCTCTTCCCCCGGACCGCCATACTCACCCTTTCACCACAAAGAAGGGGTCCTCCATGGACATGGCGTCCCGGCGGCCGCCCCGCCGCAGCCCGTCCGCACGCACCGGGCTCCTCGGCCCCGCGCTCCCGCCGCCCCCGGAGGTTCACGGGGCCTGAAGAGTCGGCGGGCCAGCGAGGGCTGCGCGCGCAGTACTGCCGGTCCTACAGTCTCGCAGGGGCGGCCTGCCGCTAGGAGCAACGCAACGGAGGCAACGGTAGACTCCCCAACTTGATCACCGCCCGCCTCCCTGCCAGGAGACTCCGAGACTCCCGGGCCGGCTCCCCCCCCCAGCCTCCGCCCCTAATGGCCCCGCCCCCTCGCCCCCGACCAATCACAAGCCCACTTTTCAAAGCACCACTTTCTCACTCCGCTCTCACGTGACACGGGTAGTACCCGCCCCCTCCTCAGTAGAAGTTGTGGGTTAATGATCACATGACGAAGGAGTTGGGGCCGCCGGGAGTCTCGGGAGTTGGAGGAGGGGCCACTTTGCCTCGTCACGTGACCGAGGTGTCAGTTTCTAAAGGAGGGGTTGGTCTCTAGTGATAATGCTTTCAGACCTCCTCTGGAGGGGAGGCGCCTTTTTAATTTCGTTCTACAAAGTAGTTTGATCTTCCTGCTCTACGTTATCTGTTGCTAAAACGTACTTAAATTTTTGTTGTTGTTATTCTCATGGTGACAATCACAATGTTGTTCAGTCACATCTGACTATTAGTGACCCATTTTGGGATTTCCTTTGCAAAGTTACTGGAGTGGTTAGCCATCTCCTTCTCCAGCTCATTTTACAGATGAGTAAACTGAGGCAAACAGGGTTAAGTAACAAGTAAGTGTCTGAGTTTAGATTTGAACTGAGGGAGATAAGTCTCCCTGACTCCAGGGCCGACACTTTATCTGCTGCTTCACCAAGCTGCCCTGGATAATCACTGTAAAAAACAATCATTTATACGAAAAAAGGAATGGTATGAAATTTGTTTACCTTTTGAAAGTATATGATCAAATCAACTTATTGTTTCAAAATTAATCGCCTTCTGTTCTCTTTGTGCACTCTTTAAGGCTTTATGGATGCTTCCCCCTTCTCTTTTTCTGTCATTAATCCTCCTCCCCTTCACTCTCCCTTCGGAAGGAAAACCCCGAAACCTACAAATAAGTAGAGTCAAATAAAGCCAAAATAAATTCATAAATTAATCATGTCGGACATCTATGTCTCAATCTGCACCTGGAGTCTCACTTCTCTGCAGGCTGTACCTCGTATTTTCTTCACCATGCCCCAAAGCAGGAAGTTCACTCCAGCCTTGGAGTGCACTCATTAGAAGTACCCTTGCCCCTGTAATCCTCTCCCTCTAATTGGACGTGTGGTTTGCCCTTCCTTCTCCGAGATGACCGTGACATCAGGGAGGTGATGACTTGACTTGCAATTGACTTTGATTTGAGTGAGGGAGGGCTGTGCAAAGTCACCAATCTCACTCTCTCCTCCAGAGCCATCTCGGTCCAGTGGCCAGATATCTGAAGGTACTTCTCAGAACCTATATTCTCACCCTACTGCCCAACACACACACACACACACACACACACACACACACATCCCATTTCATCGACTTTATATGAGCTATTTACCCCACTCTTTGATGGCAGGGACTGCTTTTCTGCTTAGATTTGTATCCCCATTGCTTTTCATAGTGCGTAGAATATAGTATTCGATTAATAAATGCTTGTTGACTAACTGACAGGAGTACATCACCTTTGCTTCAGTGGGAGGAAAGGATCCTTCACTCACAGGAGTCCTGATTGTTTAGTGTTCTCAGATCTTGCAAACTTTCTTTGTTTCTTTTTTTTTAAACACTGTTATAGTCCTATAAACTGGTTTTTCATGACCAGAGCTGTCAAACTCAAATAGAAACAGGATCCACTAATCTGTATACATAAGGATCCCAGGGGACCAAGACTGACTTAATTTTAAAATGTAATGTTATGCTTTACTGTATTTTTATTTATTTTGTTAAATATTTCCCAATTACATTTTAATCTAGTTTATTCAGGAAGTGTTGTGGCTACCTGTTTGAAGCCTCTGATCTGGATTGTCAACAAAACAACAAATTAAGCCCTAATTTATAGCTTACCTATTTCCTTTCAGGCCTCAGGAGCTGACTCCAACATACCCTTGGCATTCCGGACCCTCAAGAAGCTTACATTCAAATGGTCGAAGACGTCATTAGAAAGGAGGCTGAACCAAAGGGCTATAAAAATGTACATACCCTTTTACCCAGCAATAGCACTTCTAGGGCTGTATCCCAAAGAGATCATACAAATGGGAAAAGGATCCAAATGTACAAAAATATTTATAGCAGCTCTTTTTGTGGTGGCAAAGAATTGGAAATTGAGGGGATGTCCATCAACTGGAGAGTGGCTGAACAAGCTGTGGTATATTAATGTAATGGAATACTATTGTGCTATAAGAAATGATGAGCAAGCAGACTTCAGAAAAACCTGGAAAGACTTATATGAACTGATGCTGAATGAAGTGAGCAGATCCGGAAGACTGTTGTATACAGTAACAATAATATTGTATGGTGATCAATTGTGAATGACTTAGCCCTTCTCAGCAATGCAAAGATCTTAGACAATTCCAAAAGATGTGAAGGAAAATGTTATCCACATCTAAAGGAAGAGCTATGGAGTTTGAATGCAGATCGAAACATACTATTTGCTATTTTTTTCTTCTGTTTTGTTTCCTCTTTCTGGTGGTTCCTCCTATTGGTTCTAATTGTTCCTTACAACATCACTAATGTGAAAATATGTTTAATAGGAAAAAAAAAGAAAGGAGGCTGAAAAGGAGGGAAGGAAGAGGACAAGAGATTAAAATACCTGCTTCAAAACACTGCAGAGAAAGTATACCAGAAGTTACAACCTGGAGAGGTTATAAGGGGTAAACGGTACTTCCAGTATATAAAGTGCCAGAGTGAAATGAGGTTTCTGGGGCATTGTAAAGAAAGTTAGGAAGAAAAGGAGTCTACAGCTATTCCCCCAATTGATGGGCACCCCCTTAGTTTCTTGTTCTTTGTTTAAAAAGAAAAGTGCTGCTATGAATATTTCTGTTATGGGCTGAACTTTCTCTTTCCTTTTGATCTCTTTGGAATATAGGCTAATCATGGGTCACTGGGTCAAAGTACAGTTTAATGGCTTTGGGGACATAGTTTCTAACTGCTTTCCAGGATGTTTGGATCAATTTCAGAATTGCAATAACAAGGGCACTAGATGCCTATCTTACCACATTCCCTCCAAACTGCCATTTTCCTTTTATTTTTTTTTGTCATCTTTGCCAATCTGAAGAATGTAAAATGGAAGTTTAGAGGGTTTTTTTAAACTGCATTTTTTATTATTACCAATTTGAAGCATTTTTTTCATGTGATTATTGATAGCTTGAATTTCTTCCTTTGAGAACTACCCTTTGATATCCTTTGCCCATTTATCTATTAGAGAATGACATGCTCTGATATATTTAAATTAGTTCCCTATGTATCTTGGATTAGCAAATTTTTTTTTCAGAAAAAGTAGCTGCAAATATTTTTCCTGGTTAACTGTTTCCTTTCTAATTTTAACTAAGTTGATTTTTGTTTGCACCAAAGTTTTTAAATTTTATGTGATCAAAATTATCTAGTTTATCTCCTTAGATCCTCTCTATCCCTGGTTTGGTCAAAAACTCCGTCACATCCGTAGTTTTGAAAGGTATCTCTAACCCTACTCCTCTAATTTGTTTATGGTATGACTTTTTTATATTTAGGTTATGTATTCATTTAAAGCTTACTAGGGTACATAGAGTAAAATAATATTCTAAGACAAAGGGTAGAGACATAGTCTAGACCTAATCTCCGCCAGACTGCTTTCTAATTTTCCTGGAAGTTTTATTAAATAATGAGCCCTTGCCTTGTATTTGTGGACATAGGGTTTGTCAAACTATGTCCATTTCTTTTTGTATATTGTGTACCTAATTTGTTCCATTAACCAGCTTTTCTATTTTTAACCAGCACCATGTAGTTTTTGATGATTACAACTTTGTAGTATAGTTTGAGATCTGATCTAGGCCTTCTTTATCCCTCTTTTTCTTATTATTTTCCTTGAAATTCTTGGTCCTTTGTTTCTTCAGATGAAAATCATTATTTTTCTAGTAAATATTTTCGTAATCTGAACAATGTAACACTAAAGATGCAAATTAATTTAGTAAGTATTGTCATTTTTATTATATTGGCATGGCCCCAATCATGAGCAATGAATCTCTCTCCACTTATTTCGGAGACATGATATGTGTGCCATGGGCAGTAACCTAGAGCATATTTTAAGCAACTAAGTTTCAAGAGTCATGGATACCTTCTGTTGGGAACCCTTTCACGTTGCCTACAGCAGTATCCTCCTGTGCTTTGGCAAGGAATCAGTTCAACAAGAGGAACAGAGGAACTGGTCCATTCAAAGGAATCCTTAGAACTTGTCAAGCAGGTATTTGCGCCAGAATTCAGTTATTCCTTTTTATAGTTGTAATCCTATAAACATTCATCCAACAAATATTTATTAAGGGGGCAGCTAGGTGGCACAGTAGATAGAGCACCAGCCCTGAAGTCAGGAGGACCTGAGTTCAAATCCAGCCTCAGACTGAACACTTGACACTTATTAGCTGTGTGACTCTGGGCAAGTCACTTAACCTCAATTGCCTAAAAAACCCGAAAACAAATGTTTATGAAGTCCTATGTTAGGCACTGGGATATAAAGATTAAAAAAAAATCACTGTCCTGTCCCCCAAGTAACTTATAACCTATTAGAATTAGAGCATTTATTATCATAGCTTTTTGAGGAAATTTTTTTCCAAGAGTAAGTATTACTTAGGTAGTAATAAGGTCAAGTTGATGGTGTTTCTGCCTTTGGGGAGCCTGTGAAGGAGTCTGCCCTAAGCCTTATACTTCTTTAGTTTACATTAGCTTCAAGGGTACCAAAGGTTACTCTTGAAACCAGTTAGGAGACTTTGTCCTTAGAGTTTTCAGCTCTCGTTACTTTTCACAGTTTTCCTGACACAACTTGAGCTGTATACAGCTTGATCATTTGTATGACTTGGCTCCTTGTGCTCAGAAATCTGCAGCACTTTTTTTTTTAATCACCTTATCTCCATCTTCTGTCAAGACACCTTAACTGATTGACATCATCTGGTATCTTCTGTCTCTTTCCCTTCTATCTCCTGTCTCTATACCCTTCATAGACACCCCCACTGATTGGAGATTCGTTTACCT